GCGAGGACTCGGATGACAATAAGCCGAAGGTTTCGAAGGTTAAGCCAAAGTCGACTCCAAAAACGGTGACAAATAAGTCTCATGAAAATGATGATAAAGTGAGTGATAGTCACATATCTGCCGCCGACTTCACTACTAATGATGTGTCGGTTGTGATAACGTCCACCAATTCTAAGAGAACCACACGTAACATACAATCATTGAGTAAAAGTGAAGTTAAGTCCAGTAAAAGCACTGTCGATGTCAATGGCAAGGATATCGTGAAGAGCACTGAGATTACAAAAGTGTCTAAAGATGTTGTGGAAGAGTCTAATGATCAGGAATTAAGTGTTACACCAAAAAGGAAATCTCAAACTAAACCCATATCTTCGTTACCAAAACGATTGAAATCTAATGGAAAGCTGAGCGCCAATGAGGACATTGGCGTGAATTCTCAACCGATAAAAGTATTTGATTTTATACACCAAAAAGGAAATCTCAAACTAAACCCATATCTTCGTTACCAAAACGATTGAAATCTAATGGAAAGCTGAGCGCCAATGAGGACATTGGCGTGAATTCTCAACCGATAAAAGTATTTGATTTTAGATTTTTAAAATTTTTATTTAATGCTAATAATTAGTATTAACTTATTTATAAACAACAAAAAGCCTCGAAAGTCATCTCAAGACTCATCAAATGTTGTGGCCATAGATATGGACGCTCTGTCCCCAGAAGTACAAAAGCAAGCCATCGTTGAGACGGTATTTGAAATCTGTTTCTTTTTAGCGAAATATTTACTTTTAGCCTAATTTTGATTTTTTGGTCCACTGTTAGCCAATTAACAAAGAGATTGAAACGGACAACACGTTTGCGACCGAATCGGATAACGTTAACTCATGTGATATTAATGTGAATAAAAAGGTCACAATTTAATCAATGTTTGAACGAAATTATCTCCCTTTCCATTAAAGCGATCATTACTTAAAACTCTTGAAAAATCTAGAATCTGTTAATCATTTTGAAAATATTTATTATTTTATCGGGAATAATAAAAATTGATATAATTTTTGTCNCGAATCGGATAACGTTAACTCATGTGATATTAATGTGAATAAAAAGGTCACAATTTAATCAATGTTTGAACGAAATTATCTCCCTTTCCATTAAAGCGATCATTACTTAAAACTCTTGAAAAATCTAGAATCTGTTAATCATTTTGAAAATATTTATTATTTTATCGGGAATAATAAAAATTGATATAATTTTTGTCTTCACAGAAATCTCTGTTTTGTTTATTTTGTGACCAATTCTTTGGTGATAAGAACGAAGCCGTGACTCACTATGTGATGCATTTGTGTCCACTGAAGTGCGTGAACTGCAACCGACTGTTCGCCACATACGACCAGTTCCTGCGATCCCACGACTGCGGACGCCCCAAGACTCCCCAATACATTGAGTGGTCGCGACATTATAGCGACACAATCGTCTGGATCAACCGATTCCTCGATTTCCAGTTGTCTGAAGACATTCATTTGTTTGCGTCGATCACTCACTCCGATACGAGTTGTATTGTTTGCCAAAAAGCGCAACAATTGACGCCTGACTTCCCGATCAACCGTCAGCTCATGCAGTCGTTGCCCATCGAGACGCACATCGAGAAGCACTTGAAATACGAGACACAATATCAGTGTTTGATTTGTTCGCTAAATAAAGACAAATATTTCTATTGTAAGACATCAGGTATGTGTCAGTACTCGTCGATCCATTGATGTGAGCCTTGAGTTTGTGATTGTCTTTAAAACTTTAATATCTGTGTCGACAGCACAAGCGGATCAGCACGTGTTAGAGGAGCACAAGGAATACCGGTGCGAGACTAATGGTGCTCTGAGTGACTCATTGAAGATGTTCTTCGATNGTCGATCCATTGATGTGAGCCTTGAGTTTGTGATTGTCTTTAAAACTTTAATATCTGTGTCGACAGCACAAGCGGATCAGCACGTGTTAGAGGAGCACAAGGAATACCGGTGCGAGACTAATGGTGCTCTGAGTGACTCATTGAAGATGTTCTTCGATGGATCCATACCTAAATTGGATGACATTGTGTTCCGTTCCTTTAACCCATAATTGCATTCATAGCTCACTCATCGACATATCAGTCAACACTTGTTTTCAGTTTT